CACTGTTTACCATTTGTTCTTTTTTAATTTCAATTTCTCTATAAATAATTTTATATTTTCTTCCACATCATTGATAAAGATATTGAATAGTACTGAGCCAAGAACAAAGATACTATATAATACACGTACCTATACGCTCTACTTTGCGATTAATTACCTCTGAGATAGCATGCTTTTAACTTTCAATCATGTACTATTCTAAACCCGAGGAAAGAAAACCACCTTGGAAAAAAGTAAGAACCCTAGTTCATATCGGCAGAAAAAAAGCCGAGTGACTCAGTCTTTCATGAGGCAAGGATATAATTTTCTGGATGAAGTAGTTCAACAAATCTTTCTCACCCTCCACCTTCAAAAATGAATTTTAAATTATTTGTCCTTAAGAAACAATTCTGGCCTGGATCGTAACTAATAGCTGAGCTAAGAAAAAGAAGCTGGAACAAACCAGAAACTCCCGGTTATTTCAAGCCATACTCACAACGAACTGGTCCATGTCCCTTTCAAGCCCCATGTTTGGTAGATCAGGCATCATGTGTGCCACAACTTTAAACCCGGCATCCTTGGCTAAGTGAAAAGACTCGCACACAGCCTTCACGGTGTGACCTCTGGGAAGAGAGAAAAGAGTTCCAGGATTACACAGAAAAAGATATATTTTGATAGGTTAATTGAGATTATTCTCTAGGAAGCGAGAAGGGTTGAGTTTTATTATCAGTTTATCACCACTCAAGTCTTGGGACGTGGTTGCTAATAAGCTACACTAGAGGCTAAAAGTAGTCCAGTTCGCTACTTCTATAGCAGGTGAACCACAGCAAGGCTACAGCTATTCAAATCACAGCCTGAGAAACTTTGGAAAGCTGCTGAAATTCAATTTGTAAAGCAATGACACAAGTTGAGGCCACAGCACAAGCTAGGACACACGGCACTGAAGACTGTCTATAATCAACATGAAGCATAACCAGAAACAAAAGCAACAGAAGAGGAAAAGGAGAAGAAGGATGGGGTCTAAGTAAAACCAGCTAACTAGAAAATCATCCTGCAACATGCTTGCCAAAAATACTCAAGTCCTCCTTCTTAACTCTTCCTAACTTCTGAAAGGTGCCAAACTTGGCACAAATAGGCTGGATTGGGACTCTCGAAGGATTTCGTGTTGTTCTCCACCGTCATGAAACCAAACTAACTCAAGGCTTGCTCTGCTGGAGCTTGGTAAGAGTAGGAGCATGAATGACTGCAGGAACAAAGGTTGGATCTCACATAACTCATTAGCCTTAAAGCAACCTCTTCTCCCTCCTTCCATCGCTATGGTATAGGAGTCTTCTGCCTCCACAACAACAATCACTATCACTATATACAGCAACGAGGAGGTCCCCATCACATGTGACCAGTCTTCCCACAAAGTCCTTGCTTTTGCTCTTCCATCACTGGGAGGGCTCTCCTACTGCTGGCTGACATTTCCATCCTCTCAGTATCTGCTACCTTCCTTCCTCTCCAATCCCCATTTTCTTCCCATCAGACTTTCACACCAGCTCACCCCATCTTTTGGAATTCCTTGCAGGTGACTCTTCTCCATAGTCCTTTGGATGAAAAATTAACACCATCTGGGCATCTAGCAGCCTTCCAGTCCCTAAAGGGGCCTCCAGGAAAGCTGGAGAGGGACTGGTGCCAAGGGCAGGGAGGGACAGGCCAAGGGGAATGGCCTGAAGCTGCAGGAGGGGAGATGGAGATGGGATGGGAGGCAGCAATCCTTCCCTGGGAGGGTGCTGAGGCCCTGGCCCAGGGTGCCCAGAGAAGCTGTGGCTGCCCCTGGCTCCCTGGCAGTGGTCAAGGCCAGGTTGGATGGGGCTTTGGGCAACCTGGGCTAGTGGAGGGTGTCCCTGCCCATGGCAGGGGGGTGGAACTAGATGGGCTTTAAGGTCCCTTCCAATCCAAAGTGTTTTTTACAAAGATTTTTACAAATGCGTGCCTTGTGCTGAGACCTAACGTTAACCAAACAGCTACCTCCCTTGTTTTAATGGCCTCTTCCTTCCTCTCTACTGGAAGATTCTGCCTCCGTTAAATCCCTACATGTAGTTTTATGCCCATAGTTTTATTTATGATTTTTTTTCAGAAGTATTAAAGGTGTTTTGCTGAGACTGTTCAAGGACAGTATTATTCAGGACCTTGAGAAGCCTAAGGGGAGTAAATGGAGACTTGCTTCATAAATAAAAATTATTTTCTTATTAGAAGTGGAATTTGAGCTGCATCAATAACTTGATTATTTGATGCCTAGATCTGTTCTTGAATATTTTTCTGCCTCACAGCCACCAAAGGCAATCAAAAACCTCCACTAATGACTTATGGAACATAATAGAAAGTAATTTCCAAACAGTTAGCCTAATTGGTTGTAATCTGACATTTTGCTACAAGGAAAATATTAAAAGTTTAAAGCCAAAACACATCCCCCACAAAGTGGAAGAGAAGCAAAATGAGGTAATTTCAAAAGAAAGAGAAACTTGAATCACCCTCCTCTAAAAGTATGTTCCAATTCATTGCTCTAAAAAGTTGGAGGGAGATATTTGAGTGAACAGCCTGCGTTTTCCCCGCTCTGAGACAGCCTGCAGCAAAGCCTTTTAGGAATTCTGCAACCAGCTTTGAGAAGTGCCAAAAACCCTTTAAAAATATAATAATGTACAGAATTACTTCTGAGTGAAATCAAGTCAGTAATATACTATTTCATTCTTCTTCTGATTCATCAGCAGGAAAGCAAGGGTTCATTAGCAAACGTAGAAGCCAAAAGTGACATACAGCTTTGAATGATTTATGGTACCGGCTCTGATGTGACTGACAAAATTGGAGGAAAACTGAAGATGACTGAAGTGATAGCTAAGTGAGGTTTTAAAGTTCTACCTCAGGATAGGACACTTTTAAAAGATCTGAGGCGGAAAAAAAGTAAAAGCTGAAGAGAAATTAATTGTTAAATTTACAGTCTCTGTCGAAATTAACTGTAAGTGAATACATCTAGCCTAAGAGTGTGATCTCGCTACAGTCCTTAGTATGGATCTTTTCCTTTGGAAAGCTCTGACATCTAGAGGAGGAAAGTACCACCTATAAATATTAGCTCTTAACTCCTGGACTACTCAATAAATGGCGTTTTCTGTCTACTGAGACCTGGAGCCTGACCATTTCATAGCAGTGACATCCTGCACTTCCATGCACCACCAATACTACAGCTAAACCCACAGGAGGAAATTCATTTTGGATTCTTTAAGCCTCTAAAAGAAAGCGTCCAACATTTTCAGTTTTGCACTACTGCCTTTAAGGTAGGTATTAACAAAAATGTGCTTTGCTTATTGAACCATAATCTCTCTGTCATTACATATGATTATGGTTATTAAACATCTTTGGTAGGTGACTGGAATATGCAGTAAGAATGAAGGCAAGTTCTATGAGTGTCAGAAGTGAAAAAAAAATCAAGAAAAAAATCACTTCTTTCAAAATCTGAACAGAATTATGAGACTTGCGATAAAAAATAATAATAAAAAAGAGATTGACTTACTTGCCTGTAAGGGATGAGATGAACAATGTGTTGCGCAGTCTCCTACGTAAGACAACTGTTCTTTTAGCCATAGGTCCAATATGACAAGGAATACATCACAGGCCTCTTGTCAATGTATTTTGCAATCCCTAGAGACACTGTATGCCTAGAATGACTGTGGTTAATCTTTCAACAGGCATTGTTTCTGGTTATGCCTCACCCTCTGTACTTGCCAGTGTCATCTCTCGTCTCCAATACTCAGCAGAAAAAGGTGTCTGGTGTAAAGAACGTGCTGTTTCCTGGTATAGTACCTCCAATAGATTGTACTGCATTTTATCTACTCAAACCTACAGATTATGAGTTATGTAGGACAAGAACTATGAGCTCTCTCTGGGCACATGCTCTACCACACAAAACCACATTTACTTATAAAGCAATAGTAATAAAAAAAGAGAGAGATGTACAATACAGGAAAAATATGAGTTTAAAACAAAACATCACAAATAGCTCCATTTTCTCAAGCTGCAGTCTACACAGAAATTCATGAAGCCATTGCAGTTTATTAATTTTTCTTAACAGACATATGGCCACACAAGCAAGGAAATGAGTTCAATGTTTCAGCATTCAATGCTAAATGGACGTTCAAGCAAACAGGTCAAGACACGCTACTCAAAAGCGGACAGCGAGCAGCCACGCTCAGCTTCACACTGAAGCTTTCTCCTTACCTGTTGGTGTCCCTGGCCACGTCCTCGTACACGCTCTGCACTCCAATCTCCAGCCTCGTACAGCCGTAGGATAACATATCACTTAAATGCCGCTTCAGGCAGTAATCTGGTCTGGTCTCTATCGTTATCCCAATGCATTTTGTCAGGCTTCGTTCTGAATACCTGCAAAAAACCCCCCATTCTCTATTAAAATTGAGGTGTCATAGGTAATTTCAGAAGAGTTTCCAACATCTTCCAGGTGACAGTTTCTGTGTCACTACCAGAATTAAAAACCAGGTTGAAACCTTCAAATATCCCAGCAGCAAGGGAACCCTCAACCTTATGCATGATGGATGAAGTGATATACAAATATGCACGCTAATACGAGTCTGGGGTTTGCTTTGCGTAAGAGAAAACTAGACTGTGGCAGCCTTGCAGGGCTTTTTTACACAGTACTTGTTAGGAAGATGCTCCCAGACCAGACTGAGCGTTCAGTACTCATTATCTGAAAATAAAGCCTAGGCAAAAGGGAAAGTCAGAGTAGGCAATGAGAACTCCCTTCAGTTTGGGGACAAATCAAAGGCAGTCTGAGCACTCGCTCCTGCTCAGACACTGACAGTAATACAGGACCTCATCTTAGGGAGAGTTTGGTATAGTTGGCACATTTTCATTTGATTCCCATGGTGTACAGATAGACTGCAGAGATTGGGACGAGATCCAGCTGTGTTCACACAAGAAAACATACAAGACTGTCTCTGAAAAATTCCACAAATCACCTCCCTTTGTGAGCAAGTGGCATGCTCTCAACTTCATTGTAGTCTAATGCCGAAACAAAATTCATTGATAACCTTCTTCCCCCTCCTCTCCCATTTATCAATGCATGTCTAACAGAGACTAATTATTCCAGCTAGTACAAAAATCCTCTACTGATGACAAATGGTAAGTTACTGACCTACAAGTGAGTAAAACAAAAGAAAAAAGGAATCCAAAGCAGTCTTGAACCAAAATTCACAAAAGGAAACCATTAATCAACATAATCTCCATCACCACCAGCAAGGCTAACATTCCTTTCCATACAGGAATCATTCCAATTCACCATCTTTCCTGCAGCATATGGTGGTTGTATAACAGAGGACTGCAGCACAGGAGAAAATATTTACAGCAAGAAGAAGGAAACTTCTTCTTTTGAAACCATTTGAAACTGCAGAGAATCTGGATAATTCCCAAATCAGGATGTGGGCAGCATTAACAGCCACTGTTTGAGAGGAGTATCGGTCTCTTTAATGGTCCCAAATGATGAAGATCTCAGTATTAATATTAAATGTTGCTGAAAAGAGGACACCTTGAGTTAGAAAGAGATGTTATGCCGATACCTGAAAGAATATTGCACACCAAAATCACAAGGATGACTAACTTCAGCTCTTTATTAGGTGTTCTATAAAGATTCATCATCCAATTTCCAGCTCTGGATAGCTGGAAACTTCTGAGTCAAAATAAATCTCCAGAGCCTACCTTAGAGCATGATGGAGGTCCCACTCGACCAAAAAAAACCCCAAAAAAACAACAAAAACACACCCCCACTCTCAACCTTCCCCCGAAAAACCAGCAAAACACCCAAGTGGGCTCAGACTCACAAGGAAAATATTAACTCCCTTCAAACTGTTAAAGCCTAAGATACATAAAGACCAAGATATTTGCAGGATAGACTGTAACAGCTGTCAAAATAAGCATCTTAAAAACCCCAACAACAAACACGTAGAACATTTCAGAGTTTGTGGCTCACTAATCTGACAGACTAACCGAACAATTGTTTATCACGTCAGGGAAAACATTGCCAATGTGTGGTTCATTAATATCAGACTGAGAAACGCTCACTTTTAAAGACGTGATTTGCAAGAATTAAAGAAAGAAATTTTAGCTAAGGGGGAGGAAAAAAAAAAAAAAGCGAGCAGATAACTCGCTCATTGTGCTAGAGGGTACGTGTTCACATGAAGCACCTGCAATCATGGCTAGAAATACTGAGAGGAGAAAAAAATAATTATATCCCCCTCCCAAGCAAATTTATGGCCAAGATATAAAATGCTGAATCTAACAAACACCAACAGACCCTAAAGTATAGCACGTGCTAGGGCACCAACGGGATTTCAGTATGGTGTAATGGCTGGTAAAGTTGTCTTGCCTAACTCTACGCTGAAAAGAGAAGTGTGTCTTAACGATAACCAGAAAAGCAAAACAAAGCCGAACCCAAACCATATCTAAAAAAAGACCACAGATTCCTTTTAACTAAAAAGAAGTGAGTGACAGCCAACCTTCAACAGAAGGTGATTCTGACAACGCATCTCCATCATTTCCCGAAGAAAAAGGAAATTTGACTTTTCTTCTGTCTTTTCTCAACTTTCAAACTTTAAACACTCATTTGGATATTCAATTTTTTTCCTATTTGCAAAATGAGCAATTCTATTTCACTTGAAATCCAATACTAAAACTAAGAACAGGTACAAATTGTAAGATTATAAGTTAAGAAGCCAAACACAGAGTATCAGAAGTGGACAAGAATTAAAAACTTTACTAGATTTACATAACTTGACATTTTATGGAAAGAGTTATCAAACAGTACCCATAAAAGCTGTACGGATCATCATTATGCCTCACAAAGCTGCACTACACAACTAAGTTAAATTTTAAACTTTTTAAAAATAAATCTGTCAGCATTTAACATTTAGTTTCACCATTTCCCTATGCATGCTCAGCACCTCCTTCGCTGACTGAGACCATGGCAAACTATAAGAGAGAGCTCGGGTGCCCTATACGATCCTCTGCCATGGGCACTACTTCTCACCCCAAGCCACCACCTAGCAAGAGCAGATCTTACAAATAAAGACCAAGGCAAAGAAATGCTGCGTATCTCAGCCTCTTCCTGTGTCCTCCATCATGGAGCTGCCTGCCTCATCCAACAGCAGACTCACATTTTCTTGTGTCTTCATTTGCTGACAATGTACCTATGGAAGTCCTTCTTGTTGTCCTATAATCCCTTGGAGTTTCACCTCCAGCTAAACTTTCCTAATGTGCCTGTACCCTTCCTGGGTATCCCACATCTCCTTTCACCTTCCGCACACAGTCCCTTTCCAACGTTTGAGCTCTAACAGGACTTCCCCATTTAGCAGTTAAGCAAAGCTGGGGACCTGTCAGGCCTGCCTGGTTTCCTGTACATCAGGATGCAATGTCTTTGCAATTAGAGGAGGCTGTCCTGGAAAGTCAGCTAAGCTCACATGGACTTATTCACCCTTCAGGGCATCCTCTCTTTTGGTTCAAGCCTGTTGTCCTGAATTCTGACTTCTTTATTCTGCTACTCGCCTCCCCCAGGTTCTTAAACTCTAACATCTCAGGGTCACTGTAGCCAAGACCACATCCCTACCCTCAACCAGCTCTTTGCAAGTAGCAGATCCAGGAGAGCACCTCTCTTAGGCACTGTATGAGTCAATTATTTCAAAACATCATCATAATGCACTCCAGAAATCTCTTAAATTAATTGTGTTCCACCATGTTGCCATTCTAGCAGGTATCAAGGTGCCAGGCTAGATTCAAGGAGGTTTGTATATTATACATTAAGTGCATATATTCTAATGCTTACATCATTTTTATAACCTTTTCTTAGCACTAGCTCCAGTTTTTAAGCATTCTTCTTGTTGCCTTTGATACCAAAAACAGCCACAGAACTTTGCAGACACACCAGTACTATATCCAGATGGGATATGATTTGCCTATTCCTATCCAATTTTCCACTATTTATACAGTCAAGGGTAATTTGGTTGCTGAATCATACAGAAAGCTCATGATAATGTAACTTAACTCCTAAATATTTTCTAGATATTTCGCTGCTTCTCAGAATAGAATCTTGCACCATTCCTAGAAAAACAGCTTTACATTTTCCCGCAATAAAGTACACAGCTTGCTCATATACAACTTACTATGGAATACAAATTTATCCCTTATTTGCCCATCTCCAACACTGATAGCTCCTGCCAACCCTTAGAAATTACTATTTTAACACAAGTATTAAACAAAAGCCCAGAGGCAAAAACAACAGAATCCTATTAGAAACCATTCAGGTCAATGACAATAATTTTCTGCTATGCCTGTTTCGAAAACCAACGTAATGGGTGACATGTTGTTCTAGTCTCTTTTTTTAATGTCAAAATATCTCACTGTACCAAGTCGATTCTCTCGCAGAAGTTTATGCATATTACACTTCATTTCTCCAACCCCCTCTAAGCTCACTATCAGGATATATGACTTATGATAATGGACACAATGGATTTGCCTTCACTTAATCTTTAAAAACAACAGACATCTCGCCACATATCCTGCTGGAATGGCACGCTAGCCAAGGCACTTATGAAGTCTCTCTCCAACTAGGCAGACAGCCTGAAAAGCAAATATCTTGAGCACTGAAGAGAGTGACTTCAGGATACTCACACACAAGAGGTTCAGGCAACCTCGATGATGACCAAGACAAGCAAAACTATTACTAACTGAAGACCAAGAGAAGCAAAATAGAGAAAGCCCTGAGAAATCAGATGAACCCAGATTGGAAACTCCACTCATGATGGTCCTGTATATACAAGTTCACCTGATTTCCAGGTTCATTCTGGCATTAATATTTTTCTTCTGGAACCTGGGAGCAGAGATGGATTTCATCTTCTCAAGCAGCAACAAACATCTTACAGTATTTCTCCTCCTTCCCTGGAACAGTCTTACTTGTTATTTCTAATACAGCAGTGCTGAGGAGCCCCACATAATCAAAAGAATAATCAGAAATCAAGACAACTGTATAGCACAAGATGACAGTGGGGCAATTTTAATAACAGACTGACCAGAAGTGAATTATGCAAATAAAATAGATGCTAAACCATACAAATGAAGAAAATGAGATACAGAGAAACATTAAGGTGTGCACAGACATAGCTGTTGCAGAGTCAGTTCTTTTCAGCATGATTACAGAACTGTCTGAAATAGTGAGAAGGAGAGATTATTAATTTTAATAGAGAATATTTGACTGAATTTTCAAAGAAAGCTGGTACACTAAGCAGACCCTCAAATCCGAATCTGCCTCTAAAATAAGCTTGGGGGTTTTTTTCAGATCAAAAAAGCATCTACCTTTCTACCAGACACAGCAGTTTGAT